AGCTTTAGGGGTCCTATCATTTTCCAATAAATAGTTTTTGTATCAGAATTTTAGTATTTTGATGACTTAATCCAATTTACTAACATGTTGACTTGCATATTTTTTCATCTTTTATTGCTGAGATAAAATCCTAAACATATCTATAAATTGTTTTATGTAGCTTATCTTATTTCTAACAAAAGGAAAAGAGCTCAGTTAAATTTGCCACAATGAATTCCAGTCCTGTACTGAATTTCAACCAGCATTTCATACAAGGTTTGTTTCTGTTATATACTGCATATGGTTGCAAGAGTAACAAAATGTAGCTGGTGAGATGCAAAGAAAAGGAGACAGGATATGTTAAAAAAAATTAAATGTATTGCCAGTATAACGGATGAAGGTAGAATGTCTCTTGTGGGTGAGGGAGAAGGGATGGAAGATGGGAAAGTTGGTTATGTATTGGCCTGATGTTGAAGCTTGTGTCAAGTCAGTTAACTGAGAGGCTACTTGTGAACTCTCTATGTACTGCCTTGAGAGTCACTGAGCAGGTCCTTTTAAGCAGTCAGGGTGGAGACATGACTCAGCATTTTTGTCATACTTTTGCTTTAGCAGCAATGTTCATAAATGGCTCTGACATTTAAATCCGTAAGGTGAGTAACAGATTTTCCAAGTCTTCCTTCCTCAGTATGTCCCAGAAATTTTAACTGTCTCTTTCTAATGTTAAGTATAACTAATAACTCTTGAGTATGTAATTGTTGTGGAGTGATTTTGCAGTGGAGGCTTGTATTTGTACTAAATCGGTCCTAAAATAGGTTTGACATACAAAACGTTAGGAAATTGATATAATAGGTATAATGCAGAGTAATCTAGTTGTGGTCGCTGATACTTTAGTATTCAACTAACTGTCGTCCGACATTGACTGACTCACTCATTACTCTTACTACTCCTACTTATTAACTATAGAATAAGTGTGTTCCACCATAACAGTAATAATCATGCCCCTTTCCCTCACTTATTAATTTTTGAAAAAATTTTAACCCCTTGCTGCTCTTACTCCAATACTCCTCACTTACTTACGTAACAATACGATTTCTCACACATCCTTAGGAGATAACCAGATAAATTACTTTTCCTTTTAAGTCAATTTGATTACCAATAATAAATAATAACTTCAATATATACTAACATCACTACATGCAAAAAATAAGCAGGAGGCTTCTCTCAGAACTTTTTATTTTTTCCATTTCATACAAAGTAAATTCATGTTTCTTCCAATAGATTTCTTTGTTAATGTTACAGCAAACGTTTTAACTTTTTTAATGTTTATTTGCCTACCAATTTTATTTTTATCCATTGACAATATTTAAAATTCAAAAATCATATGTGTTTCATACATACAAATATTTATTTTGCTGTGTTTGTCTTCCCATCAACATCTTTTGTCCATAATTGTTTATAAACCTTTTTGCTTCAGTATTGGAAAGTGAACACAGCTCTAAAAGTCTATTGTCTGATATTTTTAATTGTAATCACAGATGATCCCTAGATGAAAGTTAATCAAATAATAGATCAACTTGTTGATATTATTTGTGTTGATATTAAACCTGTGATATTGTTTCTCTTTTAAAAATGATTGTAATTATATATGATGAGTATAGCAATGGTAGAAATAAATGCTTACAACAGGCATTAAAAAAATGAGGAAAACAATGATACTGGAAGATTGCTTAATTATGATAAGTTTTTAAGTTATTTAATCCCCAAGCAGTCTCAATGGACCAAAATTTAATAGTATCCTTATTGCTCTTTATGAAATACATATACATTCTTTCAAATGGGTGGATCTTGTGACTAGGGTACCAACACTAAAGGTTGGTGTTTGAATCCAGGTAAAAGTCAGAAATACTGGTTTTGGGGGCAGATGAGTAGGTTTCCTCTAAAATGTTGGTGCAATACATATTTTGTAACCATTATTTTACTAAAATAAGCTTAGTGAAAATTGTCTAAAAGTCATTTAACATGAATACTCCAGTTAAAACCTTAAAATTAAGATTTAGGTTAAATAATAACATTATAAATTTTGAGTACTTTGTACTAGTTATCTTAATAAAAAGTGTATTGTCTTTGTTATATGGGTAAATGAGCATTTGGGTAAACTACTCCTCCATAACTGTCACTTCAGTGATAATAACCATAAAAAGTTGTTACAAACATTGTCAGCCTTGACAGAAGCCAAACTTATTATCAACACTACATTTTTATAGAGTGATGGTCATTCAGACCATTACAACTATTGATAATAGCCAAAATTAATTTGTGCCTCATATTTGTGATCATGTGCCAGACTAAGCTAAGCTTAATAAATAAACAGACATCTAATGAGATGTATATTAACAATTTCACTGATCATTGTTATAGCAATGTTGCCTGGCTATGCTGGCCCATTTTTGGAAAAATATCATTATCATTATCATTTACTGGAAATAAATTACTATAAAGATGCTGTTGATGATTTCTTATGGGTACTGCTATTTTGATTTTTGGTCCGATACACTGAGGAACAGACTATGCTGAACAACACCCCAATACACAATATAACAAAAAATATGTCACAAAATAAATTATATTGTACACTAATATATGTCTACACTGATTTGGAAATAGAACTAAGCTCTTGTTAGTTTATAACACAAATGCTAGGCACTGACATTTCACAGTATCTTGAAAAAGTATATATTATGGTAGCAGACAATGTAAACTTTGTAAAGACGTACAAATACATCTTGAAAATGTATATTTACATTGACGGCAGGCAATGCAAGTTTTGTAAAGTCATCTATGTTGTGATAATGTATATATATATCAACAGCAGGCAATGTAAGTTTTGTAAAGTCATCTCTGTTGTGATAATGTATATATATATATCAACAGCAGGCAATGCAAGTTTTGTAAAGTCATCTCTGTTGTGATAATGTATATGTATATCAACAGCAGGTAATGTAAGTTTTATGATATATTTTCACAGCATTGGAAGAGTTAAAATATAGAAGTGGCATACAGAGGAGTGATATTTAGTAAACTAGTCTCATAGATCATTACTACTGTAGTGAGCTAGAATTTCATTTGGTGCTCTATACATGTAGCCTTGTGCCAGACTATGCTGAACTATATATCAGCTAAAAGACACCTGTTGTAATACACTGATTAACCAACTAGTTTCATATGTCATTGCTGGAGAGTTTAATCTTCATTAGAAACTCTATTATTATATACTTAACAACCTCTGATGGTTGCTCCTTGGCATGGTGGAGGAGCTTGTGTGGTCCAATGACTCTGAGAGTGATGCCATTGAGTGTTCTAATCTCCTGGTAGGGCTATCCTTGGCAACAAGGTCAAAGATGAGTACTCAGACTAAGTGCAATCAACCCCAAAGACCCCAATGGTGGAACAAGCAGATGAAGATTACAACAGATGTCAATAGTTGAACCAGTGGATGAACAGGTCTACACATGACAGACATGCTACAGAAGATACCACATGAAATTATAATAGAGTCAGCTGCAGTCTGTTGCATCTTCATAACTGGATTCTTCATGTTTCATTCTATATGTGTTGTAGAGGAAGTTCATGAAATCAAGTTCTGGGCAAGTTGAGGTCCACCTTAAACAAATCAACATCATTGGCACTTTCTTCTACTTTGATTTTCTTTCATCTCCAATCAACTCTTGTAAAGCCAAATGGCAAAAGGGAATGAATGACATTGAATTTAGTCATCAATGTCATCATCATAAAGGAAGCAATTAGCAAAGAAGAAATTAAATTCTTGGATAAAGCTGATGATGACACTTTACATCAAAGAAAGCTTAGTAAATGCTTACACAATTACTTGTCCATATTATACTGCAATTGATTACTCTCAATGGAAGATAGTACAATACAGAGGTCTAAAAAAATGAAGAGATAGGATTGCTGCTAAAGAAATATAAATCTTTTTCTTTTATGCTCCATGTATCTTCAGGATATGGGCAATCATAGTTTTTCACAATTTCCTATCCCTTGTAACATTAAACAATATTTAACCCCTTACAATTCATGTTCTGCCATCTATTTTTACACAAGCTCATTAGGCATGTTACTCACTACTTTCCTCTGCCTCTTTTGCTTTCAATATATCCTATGAGTGTCAGATTCTCTAAGCCCCTTTTCCTCATTATGTGTCCCAATTTTTTTCAATTTGTTCTGTGTCTTTTTCAATCTGCTTTTTTACTCCATTTTGTACACATGCATATTCATGAATTTAACGTTCTTTTACATGCACACGTTCATGAAATTTTGTTTTTGTTTGTCTTTCATTTTTTCAGCTATAGATTTTTCTATCAGTTGTAAATTTTTTCTTCAAAATTAAATTTTTCTTTGAAATTAAATCTAATTTTTAAAAGAAATATTAAATAAAATATAATTTAATTAATAATACGATACGAATTAACAAATATTACAATTTAATTAATAATAAATAAATTCTATATAAACCATAAAAAAATTCAGTTTAATTTCGAAGAAAAAATTTACAACTGGAAGAAAAATCTACAGCTGAAAAAAAATGAAAGACGTAAACACATCGTTTAAAACCAGAAACCCCAGACGACCGGTAATTTTAACAAGAAACTTCGAAGTCGGGATAAAATTGACATAAGTAAACTTTTCATAATTTTATTAACGCTAATATTATTCTAATATTTTTAATATTGAGCAATATATATAAAAATATCTGATGTTTCTTTTATATATATATATATATATATAATAATCCAATTAAAAAAGTGTTTACAAACATTGAATAAAGCCAAAACGTAGTTTACTAAGGGAGATAATTACAGCATTGTTAACATTTGTAAATGTAGCAAGTGTGAGTTGTCGCTCCATTACCAAGCGTGTCACTGTAGGACTAAAAAAATTAATAAAAAAAAAAAAGTAAAGAAAAAATAACAGAAAGTATTCTGAAAAAGAAATTTTCTTTGGTGATGCTGCTCTCAGATTCACTGACATTAACTGGAAAAATTGACAGTATCGATGGTATGTATGCTCCTAAGTTTAGTTTTTAACTATTTAATAAAGTATCTTTGACTTTAAAAGCCATGCGGATTTGTTATGAAGTTGGCCCCATAGGTTTCTTCGGAGGGGACACCTGTTGGTGCAAGTCATTTCAATAATTTTAACTGTAATGAATCTGTTTCATCTTGCATTTTTAACATGTTAATATACATTTCCTAATTCAGAAAAGAAAAATTTAATTATCTGCGAAGTTCCTCCCGCCTTTTTCCTTTTAAAATATGTTTATAAAGTTCATAAAGTCGAGTCTCTTTGTTGGAGCCGTAAAAAAAGGAAAATAAAAAACGAAAACAGTGATTTATTATTTTTGCATAATATATATATATATATATATATATATATTTTAGTAGGTATTTTAAAAACTTTTTTCTTTCAGATATAACTTTTATTGACGAAAACGGACAAATCACCTACGAATAAATAGTTGATTTGTTTGGAAACAAAAAATACATTCTTTGTTTTCAAAGGAAAAATTGCTCATTAGTAGTGCTGTTGGGCGTCATTTGATTTACTTCTTTGTGAACATTTCTTTCTTAATAATTTTCAGTTTTATTAGAAACGAAATGTTATGTTATGTTTCTGTTTCAAAGGAGGAAATACTATTTTTTTTAATTAATTTTCATTAATTAAGTTTTGTGCAATTTATGGTGTTTTAGAAAATATTTCCAGTAAAAGTTCTGTGCGGTAAATCAATAATAATATTGTGATGAAGGGGAGGGGGGGGGTTTCGTCATTGCATTGATCAATAATAATTTATTCTCTTGCTTGAGTATTTTTGAATCTTAAGCTTTGAACATTCAATATTTTTGAGGCTGTGAAAATAAATGCATATTAAAAAGAAATACTTACTTCAGTCTGTAGAAACTCCCCGCTCCCAAAAAAGAAAAAACAAACAGCTGACATAGGTTTGATTTGTTGATCATATCTTTTTTCTTTTAAATGTGAATTACCTTTAATTTTAAAAAGGACCACTGTTAAAAAAAAAAAAAAACGAAATTAAATAAAATTTGCACGAATAACAAAAAAACTCCAAGAATCTGAACCATAGAATTTTCTTTTTAAAGGTTATTTTTATTCGATAGTTTTCAAATTTCATTCTAGCTATAAAAGAATGTCACTGAAGAAATGAAGTATTGAACAAAAAAGTCACTGAAGAAATGAAGTATTGAGCAAAAATGGTGCCTGCTGTAGTGCGACGGTAACAAAAGTTAGTTTCACAGATGAGTATACTGAGTTCGATCTTCCCTTGATGCTCCATCGTGTATTGTAGCCTTAAGTTTGCGGTTCAACGTTGTTTCTCATTTTAGAAGTTTAAAAAAACCTAGTAAAAAGCTTTCAGTTTTATTTTCACCATTATTATGGTAAGTTTAATAAACACTACACAGTTTGATTTGATGTTAGTCTTCTTCTTCGAGAATTAATTCTTTGTTTTTGTTTTTTTAACACGTCTTCCACACAAAAATTTGAAATGAATAATAAATTTTATTCTCTCCAAAATCCAATGCTTTATTTTTCTAACTAAAAACTAAAGTGATTCTTTTAGAAAGGCCTTTTTTTTCTGTAATTTAGTAATAAATGTTAATTCAAATTGTATCAAAATTTATGAAGAAACTGTTAGTGTTATTTTATTAAAATTTTTACAAGTTTTTTTTAACTTTTTTGTTTGTTCCATCCGAATTATTTTATCAACTTAAAAAAAAAAAAAATAACCGAAACACAGATTTTTTCATAAAAATGATGTGCTCTCTTTCATTTGCATTTTTCTGTTGAATATTACATCTTTTTTTTTATCCTCTTTTTCTCTGAATCCTTTGTTCTTTGGTTTTTCAATTGACATCACTTTTCGTTCAGGTTCATAAAAATTTTGTATTTTTGCTAAGTTTAAAACAGACATACAGTCATAATTCAACTAATTGATTGTTCCATTAAAATGTAAATGAATAAAAATACAATTAATTAATTTAAAGAAAATCTTTCAAACACTTGGGAGGAACGAGTGGTTATAGTTTTTCTTTTTTTTAAGAACGCTCCACCAATTTCATTCATATAAAAAAGCAGTTCGATTAGTTGACAGTTATGTAAAAACACTTGATTTTAAACTTGAAAACGACGACTTTTATGTAATAAAAGTTTTATTACAAAACTGAAAAAGGAAAGCTAAATTAAGTTTTTGTTTCAAAGGAGTTTCTTCACTATTTGAAAAAGAGAAAGAAATATGGGACTCGTTACTTACAAAAATTAAAAATGAATAAAATAAAAATACTCCTAAGTTAATATTTGTTTAGTTTACTATTTACTTACCTGAATATTTCAGCAGCAATAGGCAAACATACGTTTTGGTTTGGTATAACTTTTAATTACTGATATGTAGAAGTTTTTAAATTTTTTATCGGAATTTGTGTAAAAATAAATATTCAGAAGTAATGTTTTTATTTTTTTTTTATACCCCCCTCCCCAAGCAAGGCTGTAAGGTCACTAAGACACAAGGGATTACTGAGTGTGAAAGAAGAAAAAATAAACATTAAGGAGAGACAGCAATAAAACAGTAATCAAGAAGACAGTAGATAATGCATTTTTAAATTTTTGAAGATCAAACTTGACTGGAAAGCATGGAGCAAGAAGAGTTTCACAAGTGAGAAGTGCGAGAGAAGAAACTGTTATCATAGAACTCACAGTTGCATCTAATAATTTCAACTGCAAATTGATGAAACTTTGTTGATGATCTAGTACTGCGTTTAAATTCATAAAGTCTAAGTACCATAGCAGAAAGTTCATCAGAACACTTATAAAAGTATTTATTTTGCAGCACCCCTCACAGCTCTGTGTCTCTCTTTTAGATGCGCACACCTCTCTCTCTCTCTATCTCTCTCTCTCTCTCTCTCTCTCTCTATATATATATATATATATATATATATATATATATATATATATAAACAGTGATATACTTCAAATTATATAATTTTACAAGGTCAGTAGAATTTTGGCAATAAGAATACTCAATAAATAACTAGAGTATTATTATTATCAACAAATAAAGTATTCTCAATACTTATGTGTGGCCAACTAAAAGCTTCAATGTTGTTTTTCATTAGGATCAGATAAGAATATTGTATTAATGTTAGTACAATATTCTGATGAATGATAACCTTGTGGGACTTTTAGTTGGTCACATATAATTATTGTAAATATTTTCGTTAATGTTATAATATATATATATATATATATATAATAAAAAAAAAATACTTTGATATGTGTATTAAATTAACAATTAAATGTTCCAGAATACTTAAAAATAACTTTTTATTTGTATATTAACTTTTTCAGAATCAGACCTCCAAAATATTAACCTAAGAACTTATCCACAAGACTTCATTGCCATGAAAGTGAAAAAGGGTCAACATTTTACTTAGTGTCTAAAATTTAATCACTGTAGTTTGATATTTTTGTAGAAGACTTTAGCAATAAATGTCTCATTTTTGCATTGAGAGGGTATGTCAAAATGAATAACTTTTAATATTTTACTTAAATTATCTGCTATTGATATAGAATATTTATATGTGTTATATATATGTGTGTGTGTGTGTGTGTATGTATGTATGTATGTATAATACACACACAGAATCATAGTGGTTGCTCTGAAAGTGATGCTTCCTATTTTATCATGTTAGCCCACAATATTAAAGGCAGATATTGGTGGTATGGCAGTAGAGATTGAATTTTCCTGCTAATAACCCATAATTTCTTTTCTTTTAATAGATTTTTCTAAAAAAAAAAAAATTGCCTTGTTAAAATTAAGTTTGACAACAGTCTAAGTTTGATATGAAAGTGTATAAAGCAAAGGTGTCATTGAATTTCTATCCGTGTAAAAAAAAAAAAAAAAAAAAAAAAAAATGGAGACACTGACCAAATAGTGAATGCGAGCACAGCTAGTTGGTAAATGATGTATTTCAGCAGTACCAACAGCAATATGTATGACAAGCCACATTCTGGATGGCTCTCTTGTATCATCACTAGTGAAAATGCATAGTCGATGGCAGTGACTATTTGGGGGGGGATGTATTTTGTATCTGAAAACTTACTCTATCCAATGATGTTAATGTGCTACCTCTATATGTCTCCTTTCAAATAAATGAGGCATTACTTTCAGAGCATATAAAGCTATTTTGACACAAGGTTAGCCATAGTGTTTTTAGTAAAGATCCAATTTACTACATTAATAAATTGGTTTACAGGATGAATTAGTTAATGCTATGGTGGGTAGTGATTCTGTGTGTCGCCAATTCATATATGCCCCACCATTCAGCAATGGTTAGCAAACTTTGATATCATTACTACTGTAGCATACTTGAGCCTTGTTGTATGCTTTACTGTTAAGCTTGGTAAATACCTGTATATTTCATGTAGTGACCTTTTCGGACGTCTTTATATTTAATAAAAATCAGCAATGACTCTGTCACTTAAGATATGAGATTTGCTAGAAATCTGATGACTGTTTATCATTTTTACTTATTTATAAATAAAACCATTCAAGAGCTTTATTCTTAATTTATTTTATTGAAGTTAATAATTTTAAAATATTTTGACAGTTTTATATTTTCATTTCATTTAACTTAGTGTGGAACAGGGCTTTGATAGCAGATCACTCTAGAAAGATTGAATTCATTATATCTGCATTGTCTTTTACATGTTTAAACCAATTTAAACCAACATTTATGTTACCTCTATATTGGACTTTGTTTAGAAAATAAAACTTCCTAGTGATCTTCAAGAAACCATTTTTATATCGAGTAAGTAATTTTCTTTTTGTAAGTAGTTTACTGTCTGCCATTGCACATTTAAAATGTTCTTGTGGCCGAAGTTTTTCTCTTTTAAAAACATCTTGTAATTTTGATTATAAGCAGATGGAACTTGCTTATGTATTAGTTATTTTTCTTGATTAATTTTCCTGAAATAAAAATGCTAAC